CTACAGAGCAAGATTCTGCCACCCATAATCCTATAGATTTCAGCAGAGGTAGTCATGGAGCAACACGCAGCAACATCTGGTTGCATATCATTGGATCGTGGGATTCCTTCTGAGCTCTCTACAGACCATAATCAATGTAGCTTATGTCCAAGAACCCTGTGGTTGTTTTCCCACTGTTTCTGCTGTTGGATACTTGTATAAGCAGACATCCAAAAATGTAGCTTACTGAGCAAACTGAGTGTTTTTTTCTAGATCCCTCCACCAGAAATGGACTAGCAGGCCAAATCTGGACAGCATAATACAATTCATGGAGTATCTGTCCATCTCTGAATGCTCCCATGCTGGTTTTTTGCCACCAAGATCTCAAATGCCCATTCACCTAGGAAAACATTTGCAGGTGCTTCTATTTCTGTTGATTGAACTGGCAACAACATTCTTCTCTCTTTCGAGATGAAGGAACACCAGAGAAATACATTCATTTAAAGCAGACTGGGCTGTGGCTACTTCCCAAGTGCAAGGTGCTCACTTCTGTATTGAAGTTAGTAGGAGAATTTGGGTATTGTTTGGTTTCAAGGCTTAAGTAGATCAAGAACATCAGATTTATATCATTTACAGTAAGACTTTGACAATCAAGACACCTTTTAGATAGACAGTAGTCTAGAATTTGCCTACCAAGGATCTGTACTTGCTGAGACAGTCAAATTAAAGATGCCCTTTTACAAATTCCAATCTTACACTCCTTTATCCTTTATTCTTTCATGGTCCTGGCTCTAGCTATACCCACTTTGAGCCACACCTACCTTTCGATCAGCATCTCAACACCCAACTCACCACTTTTTTGTTCCTTGTGAGATCTCAAAAGAAGTGCGAGTCACCATTGCAACTGTGAGAACTGACTGTTGTACCTAATAATGTCTCTACAATGGAGCAAATAGGATCAGTAACTTGTTAGCAGCCTATAACCATGTGGTTTTTGAATAGTCTTCACCTTGGAAGGTTTAGCCTTAAAGAAAGGTATTACTTCTGTCCAATTTTTGTCCAGTTCAATGAAGATTGAATTGGGGGTCTTTAAGAGGAGGCTTGATGCCTACCTGGCTGGAGTCATTTGAGCCCAGTTTTTCTCCTGCAAAGGCGGGGGTTGGACTTGAAAATCTACAAGGTCCCTTCCGATCCTACTTCTATGATTCTATGAAGATCTATTGACAAGGTTTATGTATAATGCCATATAGTTGACAAAGGAAAAAAAAAATCCTGAGGAAAAAAATAATCCTATGCAAATAATTTCTGGTATTTTGTAGCCTGTAAAAAGGAAGTGAAACCAGAAGCAGCAACCTTTGAATCAACTCAAGTCTGCAAAGCAACCAAATGTAAGACTAATAAAAAAATCATGAAAAAAATCTCATAAAATATACTGCTGCGATCTGCCCTTCCTTGCATTTTGTCAAGATCTGGTTGTTATGAAGAGAGGTGTTGAGAACACAGTTGCTACTCAGTAGGAAGCAAACAGAAAGAGACCAAGTGCCTACTCCAGGAAGCTAACACCCTACTACCAAATCTGTCCCAGGGATTTCACAAAAAAGAAAAAAAAATGTAGCAGCCAAGATCTCTGCTTGCAGTCTAAATATGCATTCTCTTAATGGGATGCATGGAGATACAAAGTACAAAGTGGTCCAAAGTGACTTCTGCACTACCCAAGTGTTATGGAAAAAATTAAACACACAAGATCACTACGATCACTTTGTGTCACACTCTTACCTCTTTAACTTTGAGCTGTACATTGTTTAAATATAGAAAGTACTGCGGGCATTGGTCCAATATGACAGCAAACATAACAACACTGTGGGGACATTTACACATGCACTTTTATGTGCTGTAGACTATTTTACTGTGGTTAAAGTGTAGAAAACTGTGCCATTACACTAATGCACAGTAAAATAGTCTACTATGCATTAAGTGTCCATTTAAAAAGTGTGCAGATGTGCTACTGCACATTAGCATAGCCTAATGCACGTTAATTTAGTACCTCACATTGGAAGTACTAAATTTCACGCACATTAGAAAAGGCGCATTAACGCACGTGTACACATCCCCTGTGCTTTCCAGCCAAGTGCCTTTTGTCTGAAGAACTCAAGTGGTTTTTAACCCAAAGAAAGAGTCTGGTCTAAAATAGCTGAGGTCTGAATGGGACCAGGTAGCATTAAAAACTTCAGGGACTGAAAATTTCAGCTTGGGCGACATTTTCCAAAAAGTTGTTTCTTCTTTTAAAGAAACAGGAGATATACTGAGTCTAAGGAAGATCACACTTTTCCCATGTGGGACAACAGGCAATCCCCACAGTGGGATGCCCTGCAGCCTACTCTCCCCTGAGGAAAGACCTGCAACTTCTAAGGACAGACCTGTGGCTTGAGAACTGGACTCTTCAATGGCCTCAACACCCACCAATGAGCTGTGGTAGAGATCATCCTTGAATGAAAGGACTGTGGCTGACCCCAAGCATGCTTCAATTAAACATCACTATGGAGATGCTGAAATTGCTGCACCCATCCTTAGTGCAGGGTATAGCCAACAAGCTCATCCCACCCCCTCCAAGTTTCAAAAGCTCCCCCCTCAGCCTTCTCTTTTGAAGGCTGAACAGGTTCAGGTCCTGCAACCTTTCCTCATAGGACCTACCCTGCTGTCCCTTGATCATACAAGTGGC